TGAGGAATTCTGGGAGTTGAAGTCCACTCATCTTAAAGTGGCCAAGCTTGGACAACACTGATGTAGTGTCTTTGGCTACAGCTGTCATCTAAAGGATTAAACTGGGTCCAAAATAACTTGTACGTGATAAGCCTGTGTTTTAGAAGCATCATTCCATGCAGCATAGGTTAAAACACTATTTCTTGAGCATCTCTGTCCTTATCTGGATTTTCAATTTATTAATTCCTCCAGCATATTACTGACTCCATACATTGCCGCAGAACATGCACAGCTATGTAGTGAAAAGGAAACACAATGGTGGATATCAGCTGCTGATTGGTGGGTTCAGAAACCCTAATTACCTAATGTCTTCACTTTCTTATTTCTGTTTTAATTATTTCACATCATGCAAGCCGCCATGGGCTTGGAGACAGCATATTTCAATCCTTATCCAATAAAGAGAAAAGGGAATGGGGTGTCTACAGGATGTGGCCCCACATTCAAGATGGCAGCTGTGATGATGCAATCAAAGCTCCACTTGTTTTTACGTGTGACACACATAAAAGTAGGAGGAGCTTTGATTGCATCACCATAGCCGCTATCTTGAATTTTTTTAACCATATCCTTCAGGGACCCCATAAATAGTAATAGAAAGGCACTAATTTAACATTCCCATTACTGGTCAATTCAGGAGATTGGAAGGATTATATGGGATCATCATCTTAAGCATGATATTAGCGTCCTATTTAAAATGTGCCCTTGTACCTGAATTCTAAGTCACTTGTTTATAAAAGATTGCTCACCCTTTCTCCTTTTGGTCCTGCTGGTCCTGGGACTCCAACTGGTCCTGGAGTACCCTGAATTTTTTGGTAAAAATAAATTGATGAAGCCAATTATTCAAACATATTTCAAGCAAGGCAAGATTATGGTTTCTCAAGAAAAGAAGAACTAAGAAAAGGATTTGATTACTGAAGATATTCACCACTACAGCTTTTAGAGTTGAGGAAAATAACAGTTTTACAGTATATATAAAAGTAGGATCCTTGGCTGAGTGATGAAGGTTATAGATAGTAAATGACAATCTTCAGTGAATGAGACAAAACATTTTAATCCGTTTAGTTCCAATCACCAACAAAGCTAAAAGCTGTAGAAAAATGAAGGTAATCACCGAGGATAGTGTAAACCATTTAAGGAGAAGCTGAGTCGAGTTGGGGGGCAAGTAAAATTTGCATCACTTTTTTTCTAAGAAGTTCATCATGCACGTTGACAGATAACCATATCGCAAGCAGTAATGTAAATATATTAACAGAACTGACAACATGAGGAGCACTCATTCGTGTTCAAGTCTTCTATTCCCCAGGTGCCATTTATGCACCACTTCACTAGAGCAGGAAAGAGAGAAATCCCGGTGGGAATGTTCTATTTCCAGCTCTATTTCCAGCTCACAGGCACTTTCTTTTTTTATAGTCAAATATTCTTAAGATTAAATTGGATTTTGGCAAGTTAATCAACGGAGCAATCACAGTTTGATCCCTCTTCTGGATCAGTTTGTAAAATCAGAGTAATTAAGCTTTCCCTGGTTGTATCACTTCAAGCTGCAGCTGGGAGTAGTGAATGTTTAAACACTCTCCTGGTAAACTGAATCTTCTTATTAACTACTGTTTGGCCTCTCTGATTTCAATGAGAATGTTAAATGGGTTCCTCTGTTGAAATAGATCGTGCTTCACTTTGGTGGGATTTTTCTTTTCTTCCCCCCCCCCTCCCCCAGTAATATTCATGGATGTGCAGTACAGATTCTGGCAAGGAGAGGCTGTCCTGAAAGAGAGTTGATATGCACTGAGTTTAGACTTACACTTAAACTCTAACCCTGCAGCACCACTATTGGTTTGATCTGCAAGCCATTCCCAGGGGGGTTCCCTCTCTGTTTTTCAGGAATGGGATTTTTCAGACACTCACTACTGCTGGCTGAGTGCAAGATGGGTGGAAGGAGGAGTCAGCCTCTTTCCAATTCAAAGCCAAAGGCAAGAGATGTACTGTAGATAGCGTGCCTGTTCCTCTCAATACAGAGGCATGGAAGAAGGGGGCGGGGGACTTGTTTCTTAGGATTGCAGAGCAAGTGGGATCCTTATTTTCTTGCAAAATATTTGCCCTGATTTGCTGTCACTGCTACATGAATGTCCAGTACCAGACCTGGGGTATAATTCCATATGGTACAGCTCTACATCTTTAAGAATACCTTCAAATACTATGCATTGTAGCACCCTGTTCTCCAGTGGTTCTGCATTGAAGGCTTTCAAATGAGCAAGCGTGGGGCCATTTCAGCGAAACCACTTAAAAAAAAAGTGGTTCAGGCCATACTTTTTTTAACTTCACTTAATAGAACCAGGAATTTCAAGAATAAGAGACTTGCATATTTGGGGTAGGTAACCAATCAACCGAGTTACCTTTGCATTCAGGATTATATAATAGTAAATATAACTTAACAGTTAAATAGGTTCTGCAAAAGTCCTTGTATTCATTTATAGAAGACTGATATATAGATCATCAGTAATATACAATTATTTTGTAATTTCAAAGAAATTGAAATTATAGGGACTGCATGAACTAGTATGAAACCTGATAGAAATAATTGTCAATTTCTAAGAACTTGGAAATCCTTTGGGGGAAAAATGGATTAATCTTTTGGAATGAAATTCTGATTAATAATAAAAAGGGAGTTTTTAACTCAAGACAGGTATTTTGAGACAGTTAACCCCATCAACATAGTCAATAATTCCAATATATTTTAGCAATATACAATCTCTAATTTCTCATGCATATCCTGCATTTTACCATCTTTTGCATAAATAAGATAGCACCAAATTCCTTTCATTATCATTTATGATCTAAAGGGTAAAGGAAGAAAGATGAAGCAAGGAAACCCATATTTTTCCCCAGTAGTGCTGGCAATTCTTCAGCTCACATAATTTTCATACCTACCATATGCATGTGAGCAAATGGAGCGTGAATAGCCATTAGAGAATCACTGGTTGTGTGAACCTGGCTAAAACCAGACTAAGAAGCCAAGAGTCCTGAAACAGCAACCACTGTTAAGCTACTAGCCCACAATTCACATGAGAGTCACCAACTAAAACTCAAAATCATTGCCCACTTTAGATATAGATGAAACTGAGATCACTTGCAGAGGCAGGACATCCAAGTTTAACATCTGGGAAAGCAAGATGGTTGTGGGCTTTACTTCCAAGAGTCCTATCTATCTATAAAGAGCAGCCAGGCTTTAATGAGATCAGAACAAAAAGCTTGAAATGAAAGAGCAGCAGAATTCCTTCCACCCATACAGTTCATATCCAGGCCATTTCCTTGGCCCAGAAAAATGGGTGGGGATGCTTTAGGCAAGATTTTAATGGGAAGGAAAAAAAAGAAGACAATGGACAGTTGACAATATGACAACAGAGGTACATAACATGTACAATGACTACATACAAAGCTTTCACTTGTATTTTACACAATATAATTGCAAATAAATCAAGAGGCCAATTATCCCAAATACTTGGAACCCCATGGACATGTAACGATGTGAAACACAACTTTACTGTTGTTTAGCATCAAAATGCAGTCACTTCCCTTGTTCTACTCTAGTTGTTGTTGTTGCTGCTGTTTTGAAAGACAGTGATACAAATATGGTTGTGGCAGGACAAAGGAGACAAATCACAGCATCAGGGAATAGGAACGTAGGGTATTGGAGAAATGGAACTCACCGGTGGGCCAGGCCTGCCGTCTAAACCTGAAGCGCCCTGGACAGACAGGGAAGGGTTAACAAAACAAAAGGCAAGAAGGAAGGGGTGAGGAGGGGAAACAAGAGGTGAGTGAAGCCGTGACCAGAGACACACATGTGCTAACCATAAAACAAAACTTAGCTCTCAAGGACAGGTGATGGCACTTACAAGGAAACCAACGAAACGACAGACACTGAATGTAACGTAAGCTGGTGGCTTTAGCAGGACTGTGAGGATGCACACTTCGATAAATACAGTACTTCAGCAGGCAAAGGAACAACATTCCCCAGGCTTTACTCTCCCATCCTGAGCAGAACTAAAAACATTCCTGTGGTGGCAAAAGTGCACCGGCCAGCAGTAGGAGTAAATTCTCTTGGACATTTTTTAGAAAATGAAAATGTTTCCTTTGAACATATTAGTGTAGGTTCAGAATCTTCTCAGACAGAAAGAGGAATCCAACAGTGATTGCAACGGACTTGATAAAACATGACATCCATGACATTATAGCTATACTCCAATGGTTAATTTAAGTGATAGGAGAGGGTTAAAACTTACTCTGCAGTCCCTTCTCAGAGCATAAAATTGTAATCATGCCTCCCACAGGAAGAGATTGAAGGAGCTGCATACAGCTGTTGGCATTATCAGCTTCAGGAGAGTGTTTACAATAAAAGCAAGGTTATACGTAGATGACTTTTTGGGTCTGTGTTGGAAGTACAAAAGCATAAATGCCATTTCACTAATTGTTGGAACATCTTCTGAAGCCTCCCCCCTTGCGTCATTCACAGATAGAGTTCCCACATCACATATTTGTTAAACATATTTCATATGTTTAACACAAGGGCACGGAAAGGAAACATTTAGCAAGCATGGCACCTTCTTTATCATTACTTTCTCCATTATGCATCACTTTCACAAGCTTCTGAGTATATTTATTGGCAATCCAAGTTGAGATCAAACTTGTAACAGAAAACTAGCATATGTTCTATTCTGATGGAGACACTAATGAATTCTGGGTTTGAACAATACCAATACCTCTTCTCCAGACACCAGCTGAAATCACGACCTTTTACCAGTTAAGTGTTTTGGTGCTTTAAAAAGTTGTCCAGGCCCCAAAATGATGAAAATGCTATATGAGCCTAGCTTGATTATAGAATAAAATGGTTATTTTTATAATTAGAAAATAAAAATTAAGAAAACCAACATGTAAAAATGAGACTAGGGGTTAAAATTTTAGCAGGCAAATTTTTGCTGTTGCTTTTTTTGTGATGGAAATTTTTACAACTTCAGATATATTTAAATACAAACAATCTCTCGAAACCGGCCACTTTCATCCAGACACACTGAATGGAGTTCCAGTGAAAAATGTGATAGGGGAGTATAGTCCAGTGTGCTTCCGACTGGGCAGTGCAACTGTGCTTTTTGAAAGCATTTTTAAAGCATTTTTGAAAACAAAAACCATGAAACATGAAATAATAAAAGAGTAAAGCACAATAGTAGAATATCAGTAAGTAAACATGGGATCTAAAGTGTCCTGGAGGTTACAGTTGTTCAATATCCTTAGTTATAATTTATCACATACATAATTTTTTAAAGGAGAGTCTAAAAGTCACCAGTAAGCTTCAAAGTAAAAATACCTGGATAATGCAATATAAATCACTAACTAGAATTATAGGTTATAACTATAGGCAAGTTAGGTCAACACTAGGAATCTAATTCCTTATTGAGGAGGAGGTACAAGCTGAGAAAGAGGGACAAATCCACTTTCTTTCCTTTTCTTACATTCAGAGATTTGGGAAATTAATAAATATAGAAAGGGAATTTAAGAGAGCTTTCAAACTGGACTCATTAAGAGATAAAATTTACTTACAATAATATTTCAGTTGATATTTACCCACAAATCCCCAAGTGTTCCATAGGAAAAATGGTACTAAAACTATTGAGACTTGATTTAGGAAAGGAATTTTTGAATAAAGGAAGGCCTTTTTTTTTTCCTTCATTCTGAATAACTGCAGCTACAAAATCACAGTTTCCTGTCAAATGATACATACATTTAGCTTGAATATTGGCTTTTGCATAGAATGATCAAAAAGGTTGATTATTCTTTCAATAAGAACTATTTACAGTTGTGAATCATTGAGTAACTCAAATTACATTGTTCTTACTGGAGAGATTATTAAGTCATCCAAGCATCAGTAGTTGCTAGGAGAAGTGAAACTGACCTGATCTCAGGTCTGAAAAGTAGGACAAAGTTGAAGTACCATCTGGGGTGGAAAGTGCTTTAAGAAATACATGAATGTTAGATCAAACTAGCAGTAATCAACCTTACACAAATAAATTGATAGAAAATGGATTTTACAATCAGAAATATAATCGCAGATGTTTTATTTACAAAAAGTAGGGTGCTTCTATTACAAGTTGCCATGTATCCATTTTCATGTGAATTGGAGGAGGGTGTGTATGGGTGTGTGTGTGTGTGTAACTGTTACATAAAGATCTTTATGTCATTTGTTGTAACCTTCTCCCTTCACCACTGGTCTTTCCAAATGTGATGTTTTCCCCATTTATCGATTTTTACAGAGTCTAGACAACAGCATAGTACACTTCCAATCTACATGTTTCTGGTTTTTCAAAGAAGAATCAAGGCCTACCTCATTAGCTTGAGTGTTTTAATATTACTGTTTTTATCTATTATTCCCTTTATAAGGTTTACAGTATTTATTGCACACTGCCTTGCTTAATGTTTGCAGAAAGAAAATATAAGATTTTTTTCAGTAGGCAAACAACATTGTGTTGCCATATGGCATTCTTGGAAGTTCTTGAACAGAAAATTACTCTTCAAAGGGTCCGCAAAGGCAACATTACAGGTTTTAGAATGTTAGAAGAAAAAAGGTAGAATGCACCTCTCAGATAAAGCTCTTAAAGTAAGCACAACTTGCTTACTCCTGGTTCCAATCTGGTAGGCTTCCAGTATGAATTTCAGTAGAAAATTCAAACCTAAAATTTATCAGGTAAATGGAGCAAACTTACCTTGATTTATTAACCCATAAGGGAAAAGAACCTGGGTAAGAAGGATCATCTATCCATCTATCCATCTATCCATCTATCCATCTATCCATCTATCCATCTATCCATCT